ATATATATAATGTGTGTGTTTTTTTTTTAATTATTATAAATTTTTTTTAGAAAGGCTGAATCTCAAAAGTAAAGATGGGAAGAGGGTCTGCAAAAAACTGACTAAAAATAGCATAGTTTTAGAACAATGTTCCTCAATGGAAAATACTGAAAATCCCATCATCTACATAATATTGTTCATAATATTTAGTGTCTGGAGAAATCTCTGAGCACAAAGGACAAGGCTGAAAGTCATGATGAATGCTTGTGATCCTCGAGTTTCAGGGGCCACTGCATTAAAAATGGATTTGATTATGTCATAGGCGTGACTGCATGGATTCAGAAACTGTCGTACAAATCGTTGTCTGTAAACACAGTTCACTGTGCCAGCTACAAGCACTGATCAAAGCTCTATCAGGCAAAGAAGAAAACAAACATGAACACTGCACCGTCTTTGATGCTCATTTTAAAAACGTGTTCTGTGATCAAACAAATTGAAACTTGATGAAAAACGCCATGTGCTCTATACGAGTGTTTTTTAACCACTGTTCCAGGGAGTTGTCAGGTGTGCAGTGCAAAGTTGTCCAATTTCACTTAATTGGTAAAAAATAGTCACTGCAAAGGATTCTGCATTGTTGAACATCTGTGCGTGCAAAGTGTTGGCTAATTTAAACTTTGTCCCTTGCTGGTTGGTGGCAGTAGGTGGGACAATAAGAAGTTGATGGTGGTGATGGTGAACTGGACGATGGACTAAATTCTCACAGCTCCGCAGAAGTCTTTAGAAAATATGTGACTTTAGAAGCAGGAGGAACTAACTGAACTGAGACAAGGCAGTGGTTTATAGCTGTTTTGCTGATCTACTTTTGGACAGTGTTTGACTGTCTGCTGCCAAAGAGTTCCCCTTTTCATAAACAGAGCTATTTCAACATTGCTTTCATTTTCCACAACATGTTTTAAGTGAGCTGAACTTTTCAATCATGACTATAAAAACTTAAACAACAAGAGACTGAGAGCTGTTGAGAAAGAGCTTGGTGTGTACCTTCACTCCCTGACAGGGTATCAGCTTTGTGTTATTCGAAACAGGCCCAGATTCATACTTGAATAAACTCAGACTTTATGTTGTCATTATATGTGCTGTATTAGTCTATGATGTGGCATTTTGTCACTTTTTTATTGTTGTTGTGCTGCCATGTCTTAAAACAAAGGTTGTAAAACACTGCTCTATACTAGAAAGGAGAGAGACCAGACTGTTGTCAGTGCACAGTTCTGAACTCTTTTTGATGGTGTGGGGTGCATTAATGCCTCTGGCACAACATGGGCATTTTGCACATCTGGAAAGACACCATCAGTGCATAATATTGGTTTTGAAACATCTGCTCCAGTCCAGCAAAGTAAAGCCCTGACTGTAGACCAGCTAGAATCCTCGATCAGACAAGAATAGGACAATATTTCCATCCTAAAACTCCAACAACTGGTTTCCTCATTTCATGGATGATTAGACTGTTGTTTAAAGAAGAGGAGATGCTTCACAGTGAAAAACAGCCCTGTCCCAGCTTTTTGAGATATGCTGCTGCCATCAACCTAATTATTTTTTTACCTCAAAACGTGGGACAATTTCTTAGTTTAAACATTGGGTTACTTGGTGTACTGTGTTCCACTGTAAAACAAGTGGTATACTGATATCCCATGTCGCTGAGGGATTTGAATAGTGAATGTTTGTAATTTGCAAAATGAGCTTTTCAAAAATTTCTGGACTGGAATTGAACAGGGAATGCAAGTAAACATGTTTTTGATGCAATATATTCAAGCGATAGTGATATTCAATCAAGATTCAAGTTCAGTTTACCTTGTGTTTAAGAAAGTAGTTTTTTCTTGTTTTTGCTGTCCCAGGCAGTGCAGCGTTATAGATTCTGGCATGTAGAGTGAGCAATTTTATCCTCGACCAGGCACAATGCCAGCGCCATGGGGGTGACCATTGGTGGCCTTGGCCACCACAGATTAAACTTCAGCCACTGAAGAGCCACCCCAATCAATTGAGGAAACTATACTTTTAAGCATATATGAAAACTAGAAAGCATAGTTTCCTCAAATGATGATGTCAGTTTACATATTTGTATGGCAACAGCCATCTTGGATTTTGACATGGCAACCCAGTTTTCGGAAGGAAACTTTCTTATGCCTAGGTGTAGCTACATGCCAAAATGGATGTCGGTACCTCACTTATTTTTCAAGTTTTCACACCTACAGCATCCCCCTTTTCACTCCCAAATGGGGTAAAATGTGTAAATGGGATTTGCAATTGTTATATTCAGTTTTTACTTATGGTATATTTTACACATCGTCCCAACTTTTTTGTTACTGGGATTGTATCAAAACATGTAGATGAGATTTGGAGTTTAAATTTGATGCTACAGCTAATTCAGTTGCAAATCTGTCCTGCCTTTTTTTAATCAAATCTTTTGAAATATGAAATCTTGTACTGTTGACTGGTCTGCTTTTTCAGGAACTTTTATCACTGAGTGGAGTGACGGAGCTGCAATGTGTGAGAGCTTTCTGAGTGATGAGGAGTCCTATCGGGCCGTGGCTGATAAACTAGTCCAGATCAGTCAATACTATGGCTTTGACGGCTGGCTCATTAACATCGAGAACACCCTCAGTGTAAGTTCAAGTTTTCTATCTGTCATCACCACAGTCCAACACTACAACGTTCCTTACCATAGCTGTTGCAGGTGATAGTGGTTTCCATACTCAGAAACATTGTAAACAGTCAAAAACACTGTAAACAGTCAAAAACATTGTAAACAGTCAGAAACATTGCACATATAATTCCTACAAGGTTACCCAGCATGCTTAGCAGTGCACACAGTCTCTGGGATGTGACTCTCACACATTTTACGTATCTTTGTTTGAATCTGAGGCATACAAATATTCATATTTTAGTGTTAATAATGTTTAATTATAATAGCATTAGCTTCCACTAATTTTTTTTTATTTGATTAGCGTTAGCAAAGCTCAATATTTTAGTTAGAGGTTAGCTAATTGTCTGTGTGTGATCCTATGAGATCTGTTTTTTTAAAACTTTGCTTTAACTATTGAAGTTAATCTAATTTTTCTGTTAGTAGAATATCTCATGAACCACTGGATTTGTTTAAATAAAATTTTCTGAAAGTATATTATAGCCAATTCAGCATGGCTGTCACAGCTTAACTTTAGTAAACAACACAAAAATACTATTTAGCCGATAGGCATTCCTTTAAGAAATGCTGGGTCTTAAATTTTTTTATAAGACTTGGACCAAATGTCTTCCATCCATTATCTTTACCCGTTTATTCCGTTTTGGGTCACGGGGTCGCTGGTGCCCATGTCCAGCAATCACTGTGCGAGGGGCGAGGTACACCCTGGACGGGTCACAAGTCCATCACATGGACACATAGAGACAAATGAGACAAACAACAATTCACTCTTTCACTCACACCTAGAGACAATTTAGAGTTATCTATCAGTCTAACATGCATGTTTTTGGTCTGTGGGAGGAAACTGGAGTAGCTGGAGAAAACACACGCATGTACAGAGAGAACATGTAAACTCCACCCAGAAAGGCCCCCGGCTGGGATTTGAATTGGGGCGACCTTCTTGCTGTGAGGCAGCAGCTCTACTCTTGGGGGCGGCTGTAACTGAGTGGTTAGAGCAGTTGTCCATTGCAAGAGTTGGGGGTTCAATTCCACCAGCAGTCACATGCCGAAGTATCCTTGGGCAAGACACTGAACCCCACATTGCCTCCGATGTGTGTCCCAGCGATGTATGAATGTGATAAAGCTCTGACTATGCTTTGTACAGAAATAGTAGAGTGCCATATATAAGTATATAATAAGTGCTATGTGTTGTCATCAATGTATGTTTCCATACAATGGCAAAATTAGTTCTCTGCATTTAACCCATCACACCTGGGATACACCCAGGTGGAGCAGTGGACAGGTATGTAAGCGCCCAGGGAGCAATTGGGCTCAGAGACACCCCGACATGTTGGAATGGCTGGGGATCGAGGCTTGGACTTTCAGGTCCCAGGTTGGCTGCCCTACCTCTACCCATATCGGCCCCGGGTATGAATGGGTAAATGAGGGCACAGATTGTATTGTAAAGAGCTTTGAGTATCTTGATAAGATATAAAGGTGCTATATAAGTACAGTCCATTTACCAACTGAGCCACCGTGATGCCCTTGCTATTTATACAGTTTATTAAATGTGAGGGAGATTACCAGTAGTACCTTGCTCAAGAGCTCTCACTGCTTCTTGAAAATTTCTTGACTAGGAATTTAACATTTTTAGTTTCCTCATCTGCACAGTTGGCACTGTCCAGTTGTGAGTCATGCTTTGAGCTGTCCAGGGTTAGGGTAACGGCTAGCTGCAGGTAAAGACAGTGACCGTCATATTTGGCTGAAACTGTTTACCCACAACTCCTTTCTTAAACATTGTGCATGAACTTTATCATTAATTTGACTTAAAGCAGGAATTGTTCTAGTGAACAACACTGACAGAATAATGTGGGGATGCTGTTCAACCATCAGTCGGTTGCATCAAATCTTCATCATCTTTTATGTTTTATTTCACACTCACTCTTCTCACTCAAGTAATACTTCAGACCTACTTCTTTTTTATAATCTAATCTCTGTCACGAGATCTACTAAAATATTATTTAATGGAGCACCTGTAGTAGAGACATTATTTTTCTTTCTAGGAGCTGTGTTATTGTAGGAGCTCTTCCTGTATTCAGTGTGTGTGTGTGTGTGTGTGTGTGGTGGTGGTGGGGGGGGGGGGTGATATACTGAGGTGTTAAGACATGGATGGGTGTGGCATGAATCTGAATACCACAATCAATCAATATAACTTTATTGTCCGTAACATTTCATGTGATGGAGATTTATCTTTGGCATCTACTGATACATACAAAACAACACAAATTAAAAAGGCCATAAAACTTTAAAAAGCTTTTCTAACTGAATAAAATCAATTTTAAAATACATGATACATTAAAAACATCTTAGCAGACAATGGTTTGTCATGTGAGACTGTTTAAATAGGACACTATTAAGGACACACATCAGAGGGAACAAATAACTTTTTGTATCCATTTTTCTTTACCAGAGGAACCACCAGTCTTCTGCCAGATGGTACCAACCTGAATAATGGTTGCAGTGGATGAGTTGAGTCATTGTAAACCTCTATTGCCTTTTTTCTAGAGCCTGACTGTACAGGTGCATTTGTTGATGACCAATGATTTGACTACTTAGTTTGACCACCCGGGACAACTTGTTCCTGTCTCTGGTTAGGAGGTCCCCATACCATGAGACAATATTAAATGAAACAACACTTTCAACAAGTGACCTGTACACCAATTGCAAGGTATTTTATTTGCTAGCATAAAGCTCCTTGGCTTATATAGAAGGTGGAGACGCTGTCTGGCTTTTTTGTAAATATAGTCAGTGTTAGGCTCAAAGGTCAACTTGTTGTCAAGTGTTGTTCCGAGGTATTTAAAAAGCGGTACGCTGATGTCCCCATTGCTGAGGGATTAGAATAGTCAATGTTTGTAGTTTTTATGATGAACATTTTTTTGGACTGGAATTGGGAAATGGAATGTATGTTTTTGGTGCAAGATATTCAAGTGGGTAGGAGTTGCACTGTGAAGAAGACCAGAGGTAATTTTTTTTTTTTTTTCTGTCCTCCCCAAGAGCCGCCCCAATCATTTGAGGAAACGATACTATTAAGCAATATAAAACTAGGAAGCAAATTCCTCAAATGATTGCAGTGACCAATTTCCATATGATGGTGGTCAACAGTTTCACACATCAAAATGGAAGTCAGTACCTCACCTCTTTTTTACTTATTTACTACCACATCAAGTCTTGTAAACAAGTCCTCGAGGCTCAATGGAATTAACTTGTCTAAATAAAGGTTGAATAAAAAAATCACAGCTCAATATCTGTTTAGGTGACAGACCTATAGCCAATTTGTGTTAGCTAATATAGGTTTGGTGTGGCAGCCATCTTGAACTGTTTTGACTCCAGTAGTGTAGCTTAAATTAAGTATTTACAAACACTGTATCAAAAATGTTTCTCACTGTCTGAGATCTCTGAGACAACCACAAATAAGTGGAAAAGATGGATGGAAAGATCTGACAAGAAATCCCGCTAAAGCTTCCTTGTTTTAGGTCGGAAATTACCCAATACCCAAAATTATTTATATTTGTTAAATGCCCATATCATGGGAGAGAGAATTTTTATTTACTTTCTTCAAAGTTACAAGTTTACATATATTTTCTTAGTATTTGGTAGCATTGCCTTTAAACTGTATAATGTGGATCAAACAGTATGGGTTTCCTTTCACAAGCTTCTTTCTCATAATACTTTTAGATTTTGTCCCATTCCTTCTGACAGCACAGGTGGAAATGAGTCAAGTATGTAAACCATTTTGCTTGCATGTCTTTCCCACAAAATCTTTTATCCACCTTATTCCTGGGGGGCTCTACTGTATTAATGATTATGGGTACAACTTCCTGTCAGACACCAGAAGTAGCAGTAAGCATTGGTTAATCATGGTAGTGGAGCACGGACTGCAGTTTATTTTAAAGTAATTTGCATTCAGTTTAGCAGATAAAATGCTGTTTTTGTTTTGTTCACATTTATTTAACAACCATAAAGTTTACTAACATAGCTTTGTGGACTTCGGGTACCTGTTGTGTTCGTGGCTGCACGAACAACCAAACTAAATTAAACCAGTGGCTACAACAACAGAGTTTGAACACGGACCCAGAACAAACAAAAAAAGAAGTGTTCCTGTGAAACATGGTATAGTTTCCATTGCCTACCTACAGATGAGGAATTAAGAAGAATGTGGCTGAAAAATCTCAGCTTGAAGAGACCACCCAAAACTCTGAATGTGTGCTCATTTCACTTTGTTGACAAACGGCCGATGGAGGAAAACCTGCTTCCTACTTTGTGTCTGGACTACAATAAACCACCGGAGAAGAGATGCCGTATCCTCAGAAGGATTGAAAACAGTGACGAGAACATCAGGTATGATTTTAAGTGTGGGCAGCACGGTGGCGCAACTGGTAGATCTGCTGCCTCTCAGCGAGCAGGTCCCTGGTTCAAATCCCGGTCCGGGAGCCTTTCAAGGTGGAGTTTACGTGTTCTCTCCGTGCATGCGTGGGATTTCTCCGGGTACTCCGGTTTCCTCCCACAGACTAAAAACATGCATGTTAGGCTGATTGGTAACTCTAAATTGTCCCTAGGTGTGAGTGAGAGAGTGAATGGTTGCTTGTCTCGTTTGTCTCTTTGTGTCCCTGTGATGGACTTGCGACCCATCCAGGGTGTAAACTGCTCCTCGCACAGTGATTGCTGGACATGGGCACCGGCGACCCCCGTGATCCAAAATGGAAGAAACGGGTAAAAGATAATGGTAAATGGACTGTACTTATACAGCGCCTTTCTATCTTATTTCAAGATACTCAAAGCGCTTTACACTACAATCTGTGCCTCATGTACCATTCATACAGCACTCTACTAGATCTCTACAAAGATAATTGAACAAATCATTCTAATGAGACTAATCAGAGCTTTATCACATTCATGCACTGATGGGACACACATCGGAGGCTATGAGGGGTTCATTGTCTTGCCCAGGGACACTTCAACATGTGACTGCTGGTGGAATCAAACTCCCAACTCTCCCAATGGAGGATGACTGCTCTAACCACTCAGCCACAGCCACCCAATGATAGATGGATGGATTTTAAGTGTATGGAGGCACCACATTATAGTCTTTGTTTGTCTTCAGTATTACGATTTTCTCTGGAATTAACCCAAGCTCAGTGATGGAGGACTTTAAGGATTCAAGGTTCTTTATTTGTCATTCACATCTCATGTGGTACATGTGGTGGAACGAAATTATGTTCACAGGGTCCCATTTATATGATCCAACAATAAAATGTAAAAGAAAAACGGTAGTAAGATCTAAGATATGAACTAAGAAAAACATCCACTAAATATACACTAAGCACTAGTAGCATAAACAAACAGCACGCCGAACAGCAGCACGAACATGAGTTGTGTGAGCAAGTGAGCACGCATGAACACAACAACATAAAACGGATCAGCAGCAACATGTGATTTTTTTCACAGTGACTTTCCTGGTTAGAGATTCATGAGTCTAACAGTTTCAGGGTAGAAGCTGTTCCTCAGTCTAGTGGTTCTGCACTTAATGCTCGTCAACTTCCTTCCTGAGGGGAGTGGAGCAAAAATTGTGTGTGCTGGGTGAGTGGGGTCCTTCATGATGCAGGTGGCCCTCTTCCTGCATCTGGAGGTAGAAAAGTCTGTGATGGTGGGGAGGCTGATTCCAACAGATTTCTGTGCAGCCTTCACCACTCTCTGCAAAGCGTTTCTTTCTGCAGCTGTGCAGCCTCCATGCCACACGTTGATGCTGGAGCACAGGATGCTCTCCACTGCACACCTGTAGAAGGAGGTGAGGACTGAGCTTCTCAGACCAGCTCGTCTCAGCCTTCTGAAGAAGTAGAGTCTCTGATGAGCTTTCTTGATCAGGCTGGTGGTGTTGTTGCTCCAGCTGAGGTTGTCATTCAGATGCACACCCAAGTACTTGTAGCTGGAGACCACTTCCACCACAGATCCTCTTATTTTCAGTGGGGTGTAGGTGTGTTTGTTCTTTCTGAAGTCCACAATCATCTCTTTTGTCTTCTTCACATTGATGTGAAGGTTATTCTCTTTGCACCAGCTCTCCAGGTGTTCCACCTCCTGCCTGTAGCTGGACTTATCATCATTGTTTGTGATGCATCCAACAATGAGTCCTAAGGCTTTGGCTGGGCTCTATGTCTGCTTTAAGGTAAATAAGATTGGCTCATACTGTTCCACATAAACAATTGTTGGTTTCAGTCCGCACCAGAAGTCATACCCATAATTCATGCAAGGCACCGTGGGACCTAGGAATAAGGTGGATTGATTGAGATAAGGCTTTATGATGGCCGTTTCAAAACATTGCATCTGTTGTCCTTAAACCACTTTTTAAAATAATTTGTCTTTGCTTGGACTCATTGGCCATTGGAAAGAATCATTTGTACTCAAGCTTTAAATTCCTGGCTAATGTATTGAGATGTTGCATCAATATTTTTCCATTATGTTCTTTCCTGGTAATGCCATCTGTATTCTGAGGTGCATTAGTCTCCTGCATTAAAACACTCCCACAATCTAATGCTGCCACACCCAGACTTCGCAGTAAGGATTGTGTTTTCAGGCTTGCAAAGAGTCCCATTTTCGTATGTAACGATTGTCATTATAGCCAAACGATTCACGTTTAGTTTCATCATAGAAGACTTGTCACCAATAACTACAGTCATCTTCCCTTTGCGCATTTACAAACTGTAATCTGTCTTTTTTATGCTGCTTTCATAGTAGTTGCTTCTTCCTCTCAGTGGCGTTCAGATAATCTGAATCTATAGATTAATCAGAGCTTTAGATCACATTCATACACCGATGGGTCACGCATCAGAGGCATTGAGGGGTTCCGTGTCTTGCCCAGGGACACTTGAACATGTGACTGGATAGTGGTGGAATCGAACCCCCAACTCTCCCTTTGGAGGACGACCGCTCTAACCGCTCAGCCACAACTGCCCGTCAGTTATGGGTCTTTATAGTGTATGCAAACATTCATTTCAATTCAATTCAAAATACTTTATTAATCCCAAAAGGAAATTAAATGTTGCTATCCTCATTTCATTGAGATGTTATAGGTACTGATGGCTGCAGGCAGGAGGGATCTCTTGTAAAGGTCATTCCCACAGTGGTCCAAAGAAAATGGCCGCAGATGCCATCCGATCCATCCACCCAGTAGGGGTTGAATAGACTAGTCGATTCTAGGACATCTTACGAGTTTTTAAATTTCACGTTGACTAGTCACAGTCTATGATTGTGTCACATGTCACATGATCAGCTGGGCCTCTGGCTACAAAACTGATTCTTCCAAGCAGATGGAAGGTGAGGAGCAGGCAAAGTCTTCCCAAACAGGTAGAAATTCATCAACAGTGTGGAAATATTTCACTTAAAATTTATGTTTTTAGTTTTATTTTATTTAATCCACTAAATAAAATAAAAATAAAAGCAGGGGTGCGCTCCACCGGAGAATCCACCACTGCGCACCACTGCCGGTGGAGAATCCACCACCGCCGCAGTGGTTTATTTTATTTAGTGGATTAAATAAAATAAAACTAACTTTTGCAGCTTAATAATAGTTTTTGTTTTCCTGTTACTTATTTGCAGCATGATGAATGGTAGGAGCATAAATATATGCTCCCGATGCTTTGTTCTTTTTTTGTAAATAATAAATTACTTTTTTTTCTACATCTTGAGTTCCTATGACATCGTCAACTAGTTGACTTTGACTCGACTATTATCATGTTAATGTCTACTTTAAAAAATATGTAGTCATTCAACCCCTACCACCCAGACTCAGCTGACCTCTTGGTTCCCCGGTGCTGCAGGATCGCCCGAATGCCATGCAGACCTTCTCCGATAGTGATGGTCACTCCTCCCAGCAGCCTGCCGAGCTCCTTGTCACTGCAGATAGCCAGCTGCAGGTGCTGGGGGACGATCCTGTTCTTCTGCTGTCACGAACCACATTTTTTGCCAATTCCAGGATTTCATCAGTCAGGGACTCGAGCACAGCTGGCAGGGAGAGGTGAATGCATTTACGGCGCCTCCTTTTCAACTCATATTAAATTTGGGGCTGTACCTGAGATATTATTTGAGCTTTGAGATGTTAATCAGCAGCTCCTGGTTGTAAAACCACCTTGTTGTCATGGTTATGCATCATAACAAATGTCCAAAAGCAAAAAAGTTTCAGTAAAATCCTTCCAGCTGCACAGCATCTGACACCAGAGGAAACAATCATCCAAAAAATGGGATTTACATCCAGAAAAAGAGGAATTAAAGTTTCCAAAAGCAAAATCTCAGAATGAAAGTAACAGAGCTACACCAACAAGCAGCCACCCCGAGCTGCGCAGTTCTAGAATATTTGGTAACAGCTGTTTGCTGAGAATTAGTCTCAACTACTACCAGACCAAATATTTAATTCAGTGTCTATAAAATTGACATTTTGTGTGCTTTTTGGGTTAAGTTGGCTGTGGCGGCCATCTGGAATCAAATTGACTTCAAAAGTTAATCGGATGGGCAGCACAGTGGCGCAACTGGTAGAGCTGCTGCCTCTCAGCAAGCAGGTCCCGGGTTCAAATCCCAGTCCGGGGGCCGGATGTGCATGCGTGGGTTTTCTCCAGGTACTTCAGTTTCCTCCCACAGACCAAAAACATGCATGCACATGCACTGGTTGGTAACTCTAAATTGTCTCTAGGTGTGAGTGAGAGAGTGAATGGTTGTTTGTCTCTATGTGTCCCTGTGATGGACTTGCGACCTGTCCCATGTGTACCCCGCCCCTCACACAGTGATTGCTGAACATGGGTTTTAGTTCGACCCCCTGACCCAAAATGGAAGAAGTGGGTAAAAAGATAATGGATGGATGGATGGAAGTTAATCGGATGTAGATGTACATCTAATGGTTACTTTCTGCGGTTCATTAGACATTTTGGTAACAGTCAGAAACACAAACACATGAACAAATGTCATGGTAATTTATTTATTTGCACAGGTCGGAGAAGCACTGTAAACTCATTGTATGCCTGATGTGCAACGACAATAAAGATTCTGTTTTATTGTCAGCCCAAGATCTTATATTTCAGTTGAAACAGTCTGAATATACCAGTATGCTCAATGAGAACATTTGTGAGTTCTCTTAGTATTGTGCCACTAAGTTATCAAAAGTTGTATACCCTTCATTATACTTTGTGCTTGCTAGGTTAGTGGATTAACAACACATTTGTAGCCTGCATCGCTGATCTGAACTTGGTAACTAATCAAATCAAAAACGTGTAGACCACATGAGCTGCTCTGTTTGCAGGAAGCTGCAGTGAAGAACACGCCTTTGTTCCTTCGTTATCTGACTGACCAGATGCACGAGCGAGTGTCCAGCAGCCTGGTCCTGTGGTATGACAGCGTGATCGAGAGCGGAGAGCTCAAATGGCAGAATGAACTTAACCAGTTCAACAGGTAGGATCAAATGTGTTTTTTTCCCCATCTATTCATATTTAATATTGTTTATTTCTTCCTTCAACTAGTACTGGTTCAAATCCCAGTCCGGGGGCCTTTCTGGGTGGAGTTTGCATGTTCTCTCCGTGCAGGCATGGGTTTTTTCTGGGTACTCCAGTTTTCTCCTACAGACCAAAAACATTCATGTTAGACTGATTGGTAACTCTAAATTGTCCCTTTCTCTATGGCCATGTGATGGACTGGAGACCTGTCCAGAGTGTCCCCCGTCTCGCACAGTGATGGCTGGACATGTGCAACAGTTACCCATCCATCCATTTTCTTCTGCTTATCTGTGGTCGGGTCATGGGGATAGCAGTCTAATGTCCCTTTTCCATTAGTACCGGTACGGGCCGCCTGGACCCTACTTGGTCCGGTTCTGAGGCTTTTCCATTAGTACCGGTACTTAGCACCTGTTACTATTTTCAGTACCCTTGGCTTGGTGGTTCTAACCCGAACGAAGAGGTACTAAAACGTGACGTCAGGACACTGTCAGTCACTGATTGGTCGGGGGCGGAGTCGGGGGCGGAGTCACTGGATCATTCAGAAACTTTTCAAAACAATAATCCGCCATTTGCAATTTCTCAGACTGGAGCAGCGGCTGGACTTATTTTGAAGATTTTAAAAACAATACTGACAACATCTTGGTCTAATGCTGATGTGCTGGCATTTTTTTGTGCTTGGTGGCCGACAACATAATTCAGAGCAAGCTGGATGGAGCTCTGCTGGTGTACCCGATCCTCCCCCCGGAGCCTTGGAGCGCCAGACCGGGCAGGGCGTCATCTCCCCGGCTCCAAGTTCAGCTGGTCACCGCGGAAGATCCTTCGATGTGCCGACTCGGAGGCTCGGGTTCCGGATACCAGCCTTGTGTGCTCAGAGCTCCGCAGGTCACTGCAAAGCTGGAGATGGGGACTCACAGGTGGCCGTTGCGAGACCCCGGCCGCACGTAATCATGAAGGCTGAATCCCAATCCCACCCGGCAGTCAGGCGGACTGGACAGTCTGGGACGGACGGTGGAAGCGATTTTTAAATATAATAATATTTTGTTTTTATACAAAAAATGTTTTAAAAAATTGCTGAAGCGATTTAAAAATGATTTTTTTTTTTTTTTTACATGTAAAATGTTTTTTAAAATCGCTTCCACCGTTCGTCGCAGACCCGTCTCTGTCCGCCTGTCTGCGCGTGTCGGGCATTCATGATTGCGCACGGCTGGGGTCTTGGAACGGCCTCTGTCAGTCACCAGCTGAGCTGGAGCTGGGAAGATGAGCCTGACCGTCCTGTCTCTGGAGGAGAGGATCGTGTAAAAAAATAATATGAATATATATATTAGCGTTGAAGATTAAAAAAATAATAAAATAAACGGTGCCAGCTTCATCATGAAATCCTGTTTTCACTTTAATGCCTGTTAACTCAACTGAAAATCATAAAAAGACACAAAACTATTGGATCTCAGGAATATTTCCCTCAAACATGTTTAAAGAAGAGACGACCTTCAGTTCAACTTTATTTTAACCCACAAATATACAAATCACAAAACAAGAACTTTAAAGCAAAGCTAAAAATAAAATGTATAAATGTGAACAAGAAAGAAAACCACACATTTGAAAAAATGTGTGGTTTTTCAAATTAACATTAAAAATAGACACAATGAGTGCAAATACATCAAATGATGATGAAAACCTATAAAAATTTAAATCTAGATGTTTTTGTAGAATCTGGTTCATCAGAGTTTTAATTTATATACATATATATTGTAGTGAACTTGACCTGATGTGAAATCAATGACCTTAGGATCATATGGTCAGGAACTGTCATTTCATTGATCTGCATCCAGAAATACAGTTTGACCCATC